ACAATGATGATTATAATAATGATAATAATAATGATAGTAATAATAATGATAGTAATAATAATGATAATAATAACAATTATAACACAGCAACAATAATAATAATAAAACAGCAAAAATGATAGTAATAATACTATAAAATACAAAAATAAATGATAGTGATAAAGATGATGATAATAGTAACACTGATAATGATGTTGATAATGATGATTATAATAACAACAATAATATTATAATGGCAATACTAATAATGATAATTTTGATAGCCTAACAACAACAATAATAATAGCTACCTCTGAGGCTCCGCTCCCTCGCCAGCCTTGCGCGGCGGGGATTCGTGGGTCTGAGCTTTTGTTTGTTTGCTGCTTCATGGGACTTCTCTTCCCACAGGAGCTCCACAACCTCTTCCAACATGCTGTCGGCAACGAGACGGAATCGGGTCCCCCGAGCGGCCCCCCTTCGGTCACGTCAGTCGGGGGCCTGCTCGTGACGGCCGCGCCCAATGGCTCGTTCCTTCTGGTCAACGCCACCACCACGAGCACAGCTTCGCCTCCGGACGACGCTGAGGGCCCCGCGGTCCCCCAGGCGCCGAGTGCTGGCGCGTCGACCATACCGCAGGCGCCGACGATCGAGCCAGTGCCTGAAGGAGCGAACACTGACATACCCTTGCCAAGTACCGAAGGAGGAGACGCCCCGGGGCAAGAGCCAGCTGCTAACGACACCACGGCAGCAGGACAGCCGGGGGAGAACGCCGCGCCGGCGGAAGCCTCGTCTTCCGGAGTAGGAGCGCAGGACGCGGACCTGTTGCCTGGAGGTGAGGGAAGCGAGCAGCTGGTCGAGGCGCTCGCGACAGGAGATCCGGCCGAAGGGTCCAATGCTGAGCTGATTGCTCCCGGCGTCCGGCCCGCTGAGGGCGCCGGCCAGGGCGATGGGCAGCCGGCGTTCGTTGGCCAGTCCCCCACTGGCCACTTCGAAGGCCAGTTCCCCGATCAGTCACAAAGCGATCAGTTCCCCTCCATTGGAGTTCCCGACGGCTCATTTCCAGCTGAACAATTCTTGCCTGTTCCATCCAACCAATTCCAAGGCGATCGATTCCCAGCACGTCCAGTTAGTCCCTTTCCGGGGGGGCAATTCCCAACTGGCGGCCAGCTGCCGCACAATCTCTTCCCAGCTGGACCATTTTCGGCCAGCCGCTTCCCTCCCGGCCAATTCCAGGGCGGGCTTTTCCCAAGCAACCAGTTCCCGGTTGGACAGCTCCCTCCACTTCGACCTCCCATCGGGTCCTTCCCAGACAGACCTCTTCCTGGCGGCACTTTCCCCTTGAGTCAGTTTCCTGTTGGCCTGATCCCCGACAGCCAGTTTCCTTCAAATCAGTTCCCTGCTGGACAATTTCATAATACTCAGTTCCCCAACAATCAATTCCCCAGCAACCAATTCCCCACCAATCAGTTCCACCAGCCTCCCACAAACGAGTTCCCCAACAGCCAATTCCCTAACAACCAGTTCCCCGATAACCAATTTACCAACAACCAGTTCCCAAATAGCCAATATCCCCCAGACCAGTTTCCTAACAACCAGTTTCCCAACAACCTGTTTCCTAACAACCAGTTCCCCAGCAACCAGTTCCCTAACAACCAGTTCCCCAACAACCAGTTTCTTAACAACCAGTTCCCCAACATCCCGTTTCCCGCGAACCCGACCACCGGCGGCCAAATCCCGAGTGGTTCCCACGGGCAGTTCCCCCTGGGCACCGGCTCGGCGACAGGAACTCGCCCAGGGGGCGGGGGCGTGTGCAGATTCTTCTGCAGGAATGCTTCGGGCCAATTCCAGTGCTGCTCCGCGTAGGTTTGGAGGCAGGAGAGGAGGCGGGTGGGGTTGGGGGAGAGAGCAGGCAGAGTGTGTGAATGGGTAATCGAGTAATGCTGAGGAATCTGAGGACGGTGGGAAGGATATATGGCTGATATTTAACGAGGACATAATTTGTACAGATATGTTTTTCGTTAAGATAATAGGTATTCATTAATGTTAGCATCCATAACGATAGAGATAATGATACTACTGATAATAATAGCATCGATGATGATAAAATGCTAATGATGAAAATTATAGATAATATTTTATGAAGGTAAGAATGAAAGCGAGGAATCCGGAAATGAAAGTGGGAATAAAAATTGGAACCAATAAAGACTTTTTCTATGTCCCAATGACCCGTTCATAGATGAAGAATCTTGCTTCAATTGCCCATGTTATCTATGAAATGATTTGAAGGTGTAAATCATTTTATAGTAAATAAGTAATAAGATAAGCTTTATTAAAGAACAGGGAGACGAGTTAGTAATACAGTAAGTTGGGGTAACATCCCTCCTTAAGATAAAACAAACAGCAGCCATATAGTTTTCAGTTCGATTATGAAAAAGTTTTCTCGAAAGCTCACTCAATATCAGCTCACCTTGCAGCTTACTTGATGAAAATAGAACATTTTGATCTTTTTCAAAGGGGTAGATTGGACCGTAGGCAGGGTGGCACGCCCCCTGGGTGGGCCTTTTATCCCTCTATAGCTTACAGCATTCAAAGTCACAATAATCAGAACAATAGCTTTATTAAGAAAATTGATAAAAAGATTTTATTATTTCCTTAACATAATAAGGCATAGAAGTTAGGTTTGATTGTAAGCATAAGTATGTGATGATCTGGCTAAAAGCAGAAAATGCATTTTAGCCAGATAATCACATACTTATGCTTACAATCAAACCTAACTTCTATGCCTTATTATGCTAAGGAAATAATAAAATCTTTTTATCAAGTGCATACAGTATCAATACATTTTAGAAACAAAATATACAAGATTTGAAAACAACATAAGAAACCTCAGTCACAATTATGACACGTATATATCTCCAATTGTGCAATCTTCAGGTAGCCAGTTTGCACAGGACATGCACTGGATCCACTTTTCTGAGAGTCTACTGTTAGCGAAGGCTGCAGAGACATGTCAACATTTCCATTGGTTCACATTCTTTTGACGTTCCAGGTTGGGGACTCTGAGGTGTTAGTTTAGAGAGCTCATCTTCCGTTACTGCAGTAATGATGTTAGTATTTGTAGGCCCTCCTCATTTAGATTTGTTGCTATGAAGTCTTCATCTGTGTATGCCTGTTGATCTAAATCCATTGTTTTCTTGTAAGCAGTGCACATTTTCCTACTACATCAAACTGCGATTTTTTTCCTGCATTTGAAACCATCCAATTATCTGCAGCTCTAGTTCAAGCTACCTTATATGACTGGAAGTAAGATATGGCAAGTGGCTGCATTTTGCAAGTGCAGTGATGTGGAAGGTTATTATTACAATGCCATTTTCTCTAGCATAATCAATAGTTTCTAGGGTCTTGTGGCTGTGGTGACCTTCTATGATTATAATGTGCTTTTCCTCTTGGATTGGTTTGGCAAGTAACAAAGTGATGCAGCCTTTTTAGTGAAGCAGGGGGGCCTCCATTCATGAAACAGTTATTGTTTTCACACAGCTCCTGATCACATTGTTGCCACTACACTGACAGGTTCTGAACGTTTGAAATGTTTCGTCCATATTCCATATCTGCCGTGGACCAAAGTTTCCCTCAGCTAAAACTTCCCGTTAAGCACGAAAGAATGCGGCAACCTGGAGGACTGAACCCAACTGCCTTTGCATAATTTGTTGCCTCTGGCTTCTGAATTGATACGTGTGGGTGTGGCCGGAAGCGTCCATATCTTGTGTATCTTGGCTTAGCCATTTTCCATCCCTATGGCGCCTTAATATCTCACAAGGAACTCCATATTTCTTGAGGCAGACTTCACAGATTCCCCTGTTTTACTTTTGTAGACGCGTGGTATATTGATCCCATAGCGTGTAATAATATTAGGTCTCCGTTTCAAAATAAAAAGTTAAAAGAAAGACGTACCAACTCATTTGAGGAAGATAAGGAGGTAAAGCGCTTACCGCCGGGCTTCTTACCTTAGAGGAAGACGGGCCTTTTACTCACATCGCACGCACACGCACACATACACACACACACACAAACAGAAACACATACACACACGCAACGCACACACATATACACATATATATGTATATACACATATACATACATATATATATGTGTGTGTGTGTGTGTGTGTGTGTGTGTGTGTGTGTGTGCGCGTGCGTGCGTGCGTGGTGTATACTGTTAAGTAGAGTAGTTTTACAATAGTCATCTCAAGTAAACGAATTTTTGAATTTGCCTGCATTGCATTGTAGTAGTAATAAACAGAAATGTGTGTTAAATGTGCACTGTTTTTGCAAAAAAATTAATAATTATTATTGATAATGATCTCAAAATCGCCTAGAAATTATATATTATAATAATGGTGTGAGTTATCAGATGTATTAGCTATGATTTAGCTGTAAGCTGTATCATTTCAGTATTTTTTTTTTTTTTTTTTTTTTTTTGGATTTGCGAGGCAGAGCCTCGCCCGGGCTATGCCCATGAGGGGACCCCGGTATTCTAGTACTATTTTACCAGCATGATAATTTGATGATCATGTGATGAATAATGTATAATATGGTATATTCTAAATCAGAAATTCTGTGAATTCAATGCCTCAAGTGTGACCGGTGTTTGGTTGATGCCCAGAGTTTACTTCTTGTGTTATATCAGAACCAAAGGTGTTTTTGGTGTGTAGTAATGACCTTTTTAACAGTGATTGAATTACTTGAATTACACAATGATTTAAATCGTGTTTACTGAAAGTCAAACAATATTTCACATTTATTGTATTTTATAATACTTGTTAGCAATTGCCAAATGGAATGGTGTAATTCATTCTTTTGATAATACATTATAAACCTGTACTATTGTTTCATATATTGCCACCCTCTTGCATCCTTTGAGTTATTCAACGGGGATAAAAATATGTCACTTAATTGTGAAAGTGATGTATGTAAGCATTAGAATATTCAATTCAAATATGAGATTTTATTTAGTTGGTTGAATGATTCAGTTTTACTTAATTTAAACAGATATTGAGTGTGTGGAGGCAGAAATTAAGATACGAAAAGTGACTAATAGTCTGAATTTGATGAATAATCAATAATTCAATTGTAATTAATTTCTGTGATGGGTATTGATTAATAGTTTATTGCATGAAATTGAAGTCTCATTAAAACAAGAGAAACAAACTATTTATATTTTAACTTTATACACTAATAAGTGTTTTAACATGAGTTAATGATATGTAAGTGAAGGTTGAGAACAAATTAGAAATCTTGAGACACTTAAAAAATAATAATTGTCCTTTGATAAGTTTTGTGTTGAAAGATAGAAGGAGAATTAGCAACCCTAATAAGGGAATGTTAAAGATTTGGAGCTAACCTGAGAAGTTTACAATTAAGTTTTTGGTTAGTACCCTTGTTGAGTAAAGGCAACTCTCCATTAAGAGAGATTTAGTTGAGCAAGGAATTTAATTGTAACGATACATGTGATTTATATATATATATATATATTTATATATATATATATATATATATATATATATATATATATATATATATATATATATATATATGGTCCCTTTACCCAAAATACCGTACTAAATGACGCGAACGAGCCGAGAAAATTTGTAAATAACCCACTTTATTCTGCAAATCTGTGCTGGGCGCTCGTGACATGCCTTACGGGTATCTATCGCGAATCACACGATCGCTCGGGATTTACCCAAAACATGTAAGCGACTTCCAGAGGGGGAGAAGGATGTGATTGATAAGCGAATAACGAATCTAGCTTAAACCCTGGTCCTACATTAATGAAAGGACGTAACTACGGTTCACGCCGACTCAAAAGTTGCCGATCGAACGAATAACTTCGGTTTTACCTATAACTACTATCATAACGTCGAAGCGTAGATATATTAGGCGATTCACGCCACCCCGGGTTATATCAGGCATCCCTGTGCACTTTGATATGGGGAAGATCCTAATGCTATACTCAAAATAGAGTTCTATCACGTCAATGGTGACGCGATAGCACGCGTCACCATTGAGCAATGCAACGATGCTGCGGTTGTACTCATGGTGTCAGCAACAACCAAATTAATGGGAACAACGAACGGCCATGTCTTGCCATTCCACGTGTCGACTGACCGGAAGAAAGAGAAAGCGAGTTAGGTCAAGACGGGAAAAGCGACGTGAGAATTGAAACAAATTATATGATCTTTGCGAGAAAGATAAAATCACGAACGTGTTAAATTCGTTGTTGTTAGAATAATATAATAATTAATTATAATTTAGTTTGATTCCATTTGTTACAATGGATATTCTTGGTGTGACATATTGTCTGTTTTATTTTGCTTCTAAATTATCCCCTGTGTGCAAGGAATGGCCGGGGTTACCATCCACTGGTGGCGAGGGATTCGAACGCAGGTCAGCAAGATTGCTAGACGAGATCGCGGAAGCGATCTCGTCTAGCAATAAATTTCCAATAACGAGAGGAATTAATTAACCCAATACTTGATTAATGAACGATATTCATGTTTGTTGACCACATACCATGATCACACAGTAATGCAATCTACGGTCAGAAGAATAGTGTGAGAACGTGCCATTTGCTGTCACTTGGCACTTATCCAACAACACCAACACTAGAGTGAATGCACTTATGGCTTAACACATCTATGGGAGAAGAAGGGAGGGAAAACAAATAAAGAGGCCCAAAACATGTACTCACGGGGTTTCGAAGACATGGTCGATTTGGAAGCGATGTTCGAGCGGATTTCGGAGACTCTGTCCGTGTTGCAAGCTATAGGGACGCAATAACCACCCTGCCCCCTGTGTAAGAGGCTCATGGAGCCTTAGTACATTGGCTATGACACACACGTATATATATATATATATATATGTGTGTGTGTGTGTGTATTTATATATATTTATGTATATACATATATATATATATATACATATATATATATATACATATGGGTATGTATTTATGTATATATATGCATAAATAAATATATGTGTATATATATTTATATATATATATATATATATGCATATCTATCTATCTATCGATATGTGTGTGTGTGTGTGTATGTATACGTATGTATATGTATTTATGTGTGTGTGTATATATATATATATTATGTATATACATATCTGTGTGTGTGTGTGTGTGTGTTTTCCAGTCCTGGCTACCTTGTTCATGGAGTATTTCGAGCCTGGAGCTTCTCCCTTTCATCTCCCTTCATCCTCGGTTTGGATGAGGTATATCGACTACGTCTTTGCTCTCTGGCCTTATGACCCTGCCTTGTCCCCGGACTTCCTGACGCAGCTGAACTCTTTCCCTCCGTCCGTTTGGAATGGGAGGCTAACGGCAAGCCCCCTTTCTTGGACTCCCTTGTCCACCGCTCTGCTGACCACTTCTTTTCCATGTACAGGAAACCTATGCACAGTGTACATTTACTTGCACTTCTTGTATCATCCATTCCATGTGAAGAGA